CACACCCCCGCCTCTGCCACCAGTGAAAGGCGGCCGCAGGCAGGGCTCTGCCCCGAGCAGGGAGCGGCGCGGCGCGGCCGGGCTGGCTGCGCGCAGGGCCAGGGCGGCGGTGTCTCCCTTTAAAGGGCTTCGTGCAGAACTGGACGCCGCTGGCAGTCACTGCAGTCCGGGTGACTGGCTTGAGCGAGAGAGCGGGATTTGGCCCTCACCCTCTGGGGACTGTTTGCTTGATGAAGTCTGCCTTTCTCCCTTTACAGCTGGGAGAGTGCAATTATCAGACCTGGAATTCTGCCTGGGTGTGAATGCACTAATTATTTCCATCCATTCTGCCAGGCCTCTTGTAAAATAGGTTTTTGGGTGGATTTTTTTTTTTGAAGTGGCTATTCCCTTTGCACCCTGGTGGAACTGATTGCGATTGGTCTTTACCTTTGAGGCAGCAATAGACCAATTTTTATTTCCCTCGGCATTTCTCCGTCACCCAGAAATTAAAATGCCTGAACAAAAAACAATACCCATTTAGAAAGGAGAACAAAGCAAACAAAATTCAGGAGTTTATCCACAGAGCTGAGGGGGCAGGAGAGAAGGTTGTGCTTAGATGTCCTGTCCTGTATATAAACATTTCCCAGATAAAGATTACACGCACTATATTGACCTCTAACCCCACCCCAGAGCTTTACAGTACATAGTCGATAAGGAAATAAGTTTAGGATATACTGTGCCGTGAATAATTTATATGAAGATTTACTCTATAATTTAGGCATTGTAAGGCATAAACCAAAACAAATAGTTACATGCAATTAAAAATCCAATGCAGCTAATTCATTCTTCTATTTGTTAAATTAATTTTCTGTCAGGGTGGGAACCTGAGTAGGAAAGGACTGGTCTATTTACTGGTTATTAACTGGTCTATTTACATAGTTTAAAGATGAAAGAAATGCAAAAGTAGAAAACAATCTATGCTAAAGAAAGTAAACTACTTTTTAAACATTCTTTCCTGTTTTATAATCTTGAAATGGATTAAGAACATCAGCAAAGGAAACTCTGTGGATTATTTTTTAAATATGTTTTTTTTTTAACCTGACAGTGTCCCTTCAACAGGAGGTGGGACCACAAATTAAAATAGTTTGTATTCAAATGAAAAAAACACTGTAAATGCAAAATATTGGAAATAGCCATACAAAAAAAAAGGAAAGCATATGGTATAAAATCATAAAAAAGATTATGCTAATAAAAGCCAAATGGCAGCAGCAGCAGCAACTAGAATTGCTGGATAAGGCGCCGGCGCTGAGAGGTTTTCCGCAGCAGTTTTCTGTAGTCATAGGGATTATCTTCATTTTTGCTCTCTTCCAGGGGGCTCTCTGCAACCCTTGACCTAAGGATTAAGTGCAGAAGTGCTTTAGAAATTAAAGTCAAAACATTTGCTTCAGCAAACACTGCTAATCGACTGCTTAACTTCCACCCTCAGCAAAAGCTGCTGCCTTTCCCAGGCCTCTTCCCCTCTGTAGAATAAAAGAGGCACCTCAGAGCCAACACATTATAGACAGTACAGTGAAACATTACAGGAAAACATGTTTTTTCCATAAAGTAGGAATCAATAGAGACATAATAAAAATGTTAGGGCATGCAAAACTTGGGATCGATTCTTGTTGGATAGATACTGGACCAGATTCTCAGGTGTTGGAAACTGGTGTGGCTTCGCTGACATCATTGAGCTATCCCAATTTTTATACCTGCTGAAGTCTTTATTGTTTCAGACTCAAAACTGCAAAGATCACAGACAGAACTATCTAATTTTATTTTTTCCAAATGGAAAGTTGCATTAAGTCTCAACATATGAAGTGAAACCAGGTATTTCTCTGTAACGTGATTCAAAACAAACTTGATTGTTTTGAAACATATCTTATTTCAGAATAACCACTGAAATATCTGGGAAGCAGCATGAAGGGAACTACTGCTGAATTCAAACTGCCAGCAAACAATAACAGGGTTCATTTTTCCACAGGCATATCCTAATTGATTAAACCACACAAGAAGCTCCGCGGAAATGGTCACTGAATGTTGAATTCTACCTAATGCTAAAGTAATAAGCTTGTAAGAAGGGGATAAATTCTGCTCTCACTTGCATCAGGGTATGTCTAGAATTACCCCAGTTATTTCAATATGCTACTGAAGATGGCAGCCAGAGGAAAACATGCTATAAAGCACGTTTCTGCTTCCACTGTGCTCATTGATTTAAACATAAGCAAAATCAAGCCCCCAACTATATCCAAGAAATATTTTGAACAAAAAGTCAAAGGTTAGGTGAAGTTAATGACCCAAGAAATGCAAAATGTTCCTAAGCCTGTAACCATATTGTGATTTACTGCTACTATAACATGGATTCTTTTTAAAAAATTCCATGCTTTCATCAAATCTTTCTAAAAAGCTAATTGTGGTGCTCCTGTATTCAACATGAAAAATCATTTGTAACAGAAGGATTAAAGAAATAATTTAAGGCACCTTTGCAAACATTTTTACTACTGTTTTGAATATATTTGTTTTTAAACCAGGCAGTCTCTCTAGATTATATAAATAGGTTTGTTTCCTTAGAATTTTCTTTAATCCTCCTACTATGGACTATATTTCATGTTTGTTCACATACATATTTGTGTACCTGCACACATTTGTGGGTGTGAAAGAGAATTTTTTTCTGACCAACAGAGGTCACTATCTATGAACTCTACATAGACACATCTTAGGTTTTGTCTTCAGGTTTCTTCTTCCTTCTGCGTCATGCTCACATCAAGCTGAGGTTATCAAGGCACGTGGTTTTTGTAAAATAGGGAAAAGGAAGCCAAGAATCCGGTGTCTCAGCTCTGAAAGTCAGGCAAAATTTTGGCAAATATCCATATGATTTAAAGCCTGACTGAGCCAGAAATTTAACTTTCAAGTTTTTCTTTAGTTTGATACAAGTTTGAGATCTGAGGCTCTACAGCAAGGAGGTGTGTTCACCTTATCAGGAGCTGTGGAAGCAGAACAAAACTGGCAGGTTTTCGAGTAAGACAAACATGCACCGTAGACTGACTGGGCAGAGTTCTGTTCCAAAATTCAGACAGACTGAAAATCGAAGAAAGGAAATTTTCAGCTAAGCATAAAATTTCCTAATTGCTAGAATTATTATTGTAGAAGGTTCCATGAAAATGAGTTGTTTTACAGCTTTTAAATGCAGATAGTTTTGTCTTATATGAAAATGTATCCAAATAAGTATGTATCATCATTTGCTAAGCAGAATTAAAAAAACCTTTATTTTACCAACAATTATTTTCTGTTTACTTACCCTTCACTAGCCATTATAGTTGAACTCCTGAGCTCAGTCAGTTGTCTCTTTTCTCTTCGGCCAGAATAACTATTCTTTGATACAGCATCAATAGATGAAATTCCTTGGTAGTATAAATCTTCTCTATCAAGCATCTTGTCCAAACTGTCAATCAATAAATGGACTAAGCTATCAGCTGTATTTTTCAACATTTTCTCAGCAAAAATACGGAAAAACAAAGGTTGCTATTTATTTTACCAGTTAAGAGCTAAGGACTTTTTACCTGCTGACAGTATTGGAAAAATATATAATACACACACACAAAACCTGATTTGTTGTGCTTGTTTGTATATGTGCACATACATATGCACTTATGTATAGGTAGACATATATGTGCATGTACATATGCATATATCTACACATACATATACACAGAAGCACAGCAAATATGGTCCCTGGAATGTAACTATTATAAAATGCCTAAATTTATCATTTCAAAATATTTGAGGCGCAAAGATTTTTGTGGGTGATATCTTTTACTGAAAGAAGGCAGGGCACATATGCACCTTATAGACTAAGATATAGGTAGAGCACAATCTTTCATGAATTTGAGCTCACTTCATCAGATGCTGTATGAATTCCGATCTTATGTAGTTAGTTTTTCAGGTGCAAATAGACCCTGCCTGACTTCAGACTAAGATGACTACCTACCTCCGTCTCTTATTGGGTTTAGCAAATATATATTTGCACACTAAGTCCTTTTTAACATAAGTTACTCTCCCTGGACCTGCATAGGTTGCAGATGGTTTTGTAAGATGTATGCTTGTACGCACCTGTGTACCTCAGGCCAGCGCTAACATTTAAAGATCTAAAATTACTGGGTAGTTTTCAGTGATGCCATTCTAATTCATGTAATTAAGACTGTATTACAACTGTCTTTGTAATCCCTGATTTTCAGGCATTTCTGTTCTGTCCACAAAATGTACTTTAGGTGGCAAATTAGTAAGCAAGTCTATAGCTAATTCAAGAGATTCAGAGTCAATCACTAGCATTTAGGGATATCAGTAGATTTATGACACTCCCCGGAGGACTATGGCTTAGTCATGAATGAATGGATTATCCTGATCCAGAAGTTATAAGGAGATAATCATCATCTGTATATTTAACTCTTTCAGATTGCCATGGCTGAGAAAGCAGAAAACCACTTGAGAGCTGGATTTCTAAAGAGATTTGCAATGTAATATAGAGACTTTAATTTCAATGTCACAGATCTATATATCTTGCTTAAGATAGTGATGGAACCTGATCTGGGAAGTTCTGTGACCTAAAATACATAAAATGGAGTTGGTGGTCTCAATGCAGGTCCTAGTGGGCAGGAAGGTATGTTATTCAGCACCATTCTGGCCATAAATAGTGGCAGAGAATGGCTAAAGGAGGCAATGCCTCCACATCAAAAACTGAGTTGCATTATTGGGACAATATGAAAAAATTGCACTGCTGCTGCCCATGCTATCCTTATTCTATGCAAAGGGGCCCTTATTTTCTACTGTTGTCATTTTATCCATTCTGTTGCAAGGCTAATAATTCACTTAAAAACCCAAAAATTTAAATAATGGCCAAATCTTACAGAAAATGGGGTCGTAATATTTTGCAGCAATAAGGGGCACACCACAGCCTGGATGGAATGCAAGTCATATTAGTGCATAACACAATGGGGCCCAGATACTGATTAGCAGGGATCCTGGTTTCCCCTGAATAAAAAATTGCAAATTATCTGATAAAAACCCCCAAATCCATGATTAAAATGAAAGGCCACTATATATATATATAGGCATCAGTTGAACACAATCTTTTCTTGATATATTTACAATTTTAAAGCAATTTGGAAACCTAGCAGTGCCTCAATCACCATAATAAAACACATTCTAAATACTTATAAATTTTGGTATTTTCTTTTGGGTTTTTATCATGGAAAATCAGAGCTCCCCCTACCCCCTTAGCTCACAGAATGCAGGTCTAGGCCCCATAGCCCCCAGCCCTGGGGCCCCCGGCTGCCAGGGCTATGGGGCCAGAGACCCATATCCGCCCCCTGCCCCTCGCAGGAGGCAGAGGCTGCTGCAGCAGAGTGGAGCATGGAGCCTGATTTCCCCACTGCTGCCTGCATGCTGTGGGCTTTGGTGGGGATGGGGCCGGCTTCCCGCCGCTGCGCACACTCCCAGGGGGCAGGGGAGACCTGTGTCCCCTAGATCTGTGTGTAGCATAAGGGAGGGTATTACCCACCTTGCAGCCCTCCCCCAGGGCCTCTGCAGCCCAGCAGGTGCCACCCAGCGCTGCAGGGCAGGCGGGGGGCATGCGGCAAAGCTTGTTGCTGCTGTGAGCTTCACGCTGCTCTGGCAAGGTGTCACCCTGTGTGCCTAGCAGCAGCAGGGACAGTGGCATAGGATTGTGCCCCCTGCTGCATCCAGGCAGGCAGGGAAGCCTCTCCAGGGTACTGTGGGACTTGCAATGGCAATGAGCTTCCCCGCATGGCCCACCACTGCCCTGCAGTATTGGGTCACACCTGCTGGGTTGTGGAGCACTGGCAAAGGGCAGCAGGGTGGGGAGCCCGAGCCTGCAGTGGGCAGCCTGCCCCTACCCTGCCCACAGATCTGGGGGGCATGGGTCCCACCTGCTCCCCCAGGAATGTGCACAGCAGTGGGAAGCTGGTCCCACACTTCTGTCCACTGGATAAGCCACCTGCAGCCATATCCTGCTTCCTGCCAGGGCCCTGCAGCTGCACATGGCCCCAGCCCCCAAGCTCTGTGCACCACCCAGTTGGGTAGCAACAGGAGCTCTAGCCGCAGCCCCAGCCCCAGCCCTGCCCTGCCCAACTCCCTCCCTCCCTCTCTATGGGGGCCTCGAACCTCCCCCCACCGAAGATACTTACGGGAGCTGCTCTTCGGGCTGCCTGGCATCCCCTGTCTGGCCACTCTCCTCCCACTCCCCCCCAAGTCCCTTCCAGGCTGACACTCTGCCAGCCTGCAGAGAGCTCTTTGCCAAACTGCAAAATCCATGGTTTCTCTATTAAAATGAGAAATCTGCGTTTTCCTTGGGTAAAGGGAGAAATCCACACTTTTCTCCGTTTTCTCATGGGAAATGAAAAACCTGGATCCTTGCTGATTAGGATCCTGAGGCACTACTGGATTATAAATAATAGGAATAATAAAAAAGAGTGTTAAAGTGTTATTGGGTGATTGTGGATATGTAGGAGATTACATAAACATTGGTCACAAATACTGTTTCAGTGTGCCTTAAAGAAAAACAAAAATAAACACATAAAACTTATAATTACTAGGAAAAAATATTTTATCCTAGAGCTTCATCCAAAGACCAGCAGGTAGGGTCAACTATGTAGGGTGTCGATTACTTCCTGCAAAGTGATTTATACTCCATTCCCCATTAATTTAGGTGATAGCAAAGACATTCAGCCTGTTGTGGGAGTGTATTTGAATAAGATACTGCATAACTACTGATACACATTAAGTAAAGGAACAACTAAGAAGTGTACCTTAGATTGCTGGATCATAGGGAAGCACCAAACAAGTTTAAGTAAAGCTGCCGGTTATAAATTTTGCTAGAAACTGTATGCTGTATATTTGCCAGAGCTTCCCATGCATTCAGAAACACAGCAAGTACACAGATCAGTGTAAGGAGAGGATATATGCTTTGTTTCCTTTACTGAATGTGGCGATCCACCAGAATGTTTCAATTACACTGTGGGAAAACCTTTATGGTTGAAATGTCAATGGGTATTTTTGTTTTTGTTACCGCTATGAATATGTAAATAGTTTTTTGTGGCATTTCCAAGTGGTTGCTTTCTAAGGAGGGGAGCTCCATCGTTTTTTGAATTTTTGCTAACTGAGTAAAATGGCTGCTCATCTGCTTTGAACTGGAATTTTAAGCTCCCAATGTTTTTGTTTTAGAACTGTCATTGAGCTGGACCTTGGCTTAATTTATTATTATGCTTGCGTTGCCATGGCAAGAGACTATGCAGTAGTAAAACTGCCTGCCTGAATGCTACAATGTTTTTAGCTTCTTCCGAGTGGCATAATTTTACTTTGCACATGATACCCTATCTATGCATCATCAAATAATAATTATATCCTTTTCTTAATATTATTTTTTCTTGGTTGACAGTGCAGCTACTCACTATTCCTAGAACACTAAAAGGACCACTATGGGTCAAAGGAAAGGAGGAAGAGAAAAATTACCTGTCCTTTCTTAGTTTCCGTTTTTCTTCTTGTACTGATTTCTAAGAAAACATAAAGCAATTTAAAAAGTAACACTTTTTAAATAAACCCTAATGCATTTTTATGCAAAGGTCTGGATCATAGGCATGCTCAGTATAAGAACTGTCTATAGTTCTTACTATGAAATATATGGCTATGAACAACATAATTTATTGAGTAAAAAACCTTGCTCTACACATTTTTAATAGTCTCTGTATCTGTGTATTGTGTGAGGATAAAACTAGTATTTTTCTCCCAGGCATCTTAGGTGCTAATATTATTGGAAAAATGAAATAAACTGTAGGAGGGGAATATCAGAGTTCCAAGGCCCTATGTATGTTTTAAAAATATTGACATATACAGGCCAACATAGGCAGATTTTCTTCTGATACGCTACTTTACTTATTAGCCAATTCCTGGGAGAAGGGCCAGCCCTGTTCTTACTAAAGCCAAAGGAGTTTTTCATTGCCTTTAAGAGAAAAAGACTAGACTATGGTCATACTTAAATCAGCAGTTTACTAATGTTATATCACCCTTGGGATACTAACATCCAAAGCTGCAGAAGAGGCAGAATTATTTGAGAATTTAAATAATTTCTTATCTCTAATAACTGCCTCTCTCTACAGACAATGCAATGCTATGCTGCAGAATTTTTAACAGCACGACACTTACAAAGTAATACATTTTTAAGTGCAGAATGAATCTAATTTTGCTTCCACTTACTAGCATAAAAACCAATGAATTTCAGTAGCTTGAAACCAGCGTGTAAAGAAAATCAAAATTCTTGCCTACAACAACCATACTTAGGAAACTGGCTATTAAGTATAGTACAGGTTTCTGGGTTCACAAGTAAGTGCAGAAAGACAGCTTACCTTTTAAAGTGACAGAACGGCTAAAAATGAACATCAAATAAAGCAAGTGTCGTCTTACAAAAGTTAGTGCAATGACAGGCAAGGTTCTTTGGGTAAATGTGATGTCACATTTAAGGTAGAGAGGGGAAGAACAAGAGTTTCAAAAGTACCTGTTCCTACTGGATGTCTTAATATTTGGGTACTCAGCTTGGAACTCTTGTGGGCTAATTTTCAGAGGCAAAGAGTGGCAGCTCCCATTGACTTCAAGCGAGGCTAATGGTGCTTGGTACCTCTGAATACTGACTATTCCAAAAATGGAGAGACTACAAATTATGAGATGTTTTTGGGTTTGCTGGTTGCAGCCGTGTTGGTCTAAGGACACAGGCAGATAAGGTTCTTTGGGTAACTGTAATTATCTTTTATTAGACCAACTAAATAGTTGGACAAATGTTCTTTGCAAGCTTTCAGGCATAAACACCCTTCTTCATGCTTTTGACCCTGATATCACATTTACCCGAAGAAGCTTGTCTGAGATGTTTTTGAAAATTTGTAGTGACTATATCAAGATCAAACAAACCTAGCACTAGGGAGGACATGCCTCCCTGTTAGGTCCCCAAATCTTCTATGCCAGTTAATTTGATGTCATTAAGGTAGACTTTCTCTTTTATTCTTTCTTGCAAATAAACACAATGAATTGATACGGATGTTAATTCCTGCCTTGAAGTTTACTGTTGATATTTAAATTCAAAATAATCAGTTCCCCATTGCACCAATTGCATCATTGTTGAGTTTTTTTCTTGATAAATGAGTTTTCAGAAACTACCAAGGTTTTACTTCTAACTCTTTAGCCCCTGCTTTATGGAGCCTGTCACAGATATTCATTTACTTTAGAACATACTTTTTCCTTTTAAAGTTCTAGATACAGAATTCAGTGTCATGTTTTACATTTGAGTCCTTAGTCTTACAAATCTTGTCTTCTTGAAAACAGATCTGATTCACGTGTACTGATCTTTATTTAAGAATATGATAGCTTGCTTTACATGAGTACAAAACTAGGCCCATGCCTTGCCTTTTTTTAGGTACACAAATCAACCTGTTCCTTAAGGGCCTTTATGATACTTTCCACTGAAAAGAGAACCAATTGTCTCAGTCAGTTTGATCAACTGTGCTTTCATTTGCTGTTAAAATCAGCCAATAAGACACACATGCCTCTAGCAAGTGTGTTTAATTGCTCTCATTGTTGAAGCCTTCTAACCTGCTTTTTAAGTTTCCTTTTTTTCTGCTTACTCACTTCCATTTTTACATTTAATGGCAATAGAAACAAAAAAAGGAAAAGCAGATGTAGATATCTGAACATGGACCAAGCTGACATCTAGTTCCTGTTCTGAATTTTGTGGTACATCCCTTTTCACTGCAAAGCAGCTCCTACTCTCTACTCTAAAGGAATGTCTAGAAAGATATGCCTGGTAGTTTTTATGCACAAAAATTGTCCATCTTACATGCACTAGAGTATAGTATGGGGAATCTTCAGGATTATTTAAAGTCTTGGGTCTCCGTGGTCTCCTTGTTGGTCTCTGCTTGGGACGACAGTCCTCTGCATTGCAAGCAACTGTAAGAAAAAGAAAGAGAGACTAATGTTCATTTGTTCACAGAATAAGAGAGTTTCATAAAAGCCTGCAGAGGAGACACCCATTTGAAAGAGAGAAAAAAGACCCTTTCAGCTACATATAGTGCTTTTAAAAGATAACCATTTTGCACATTTCTGTGATCATGGTTGACTGTGCATCTGTTAATCCCATCCTCAATTGTGCTCATGAAAACAGACCTTGCCGGAATTGATGTAGTTGATATAGTTGAACAGACCAATGGTCCATATAATAAACAATGCTATCTGATACTGGATATTTCAAGGAAAAGTGTTAAGAGCTAAGGGCTATGAGAAGCATGCTACATTACATCAGAGAGACTTAAAATGGAGAGATGATGGTACATTCTTCCTCCCAGTGTCTAGCAGTTTAATGGTTAGGGTGCTCACCTGCATGTGGAAGATTCAAATTTTCTCTCTACCTGAGAGGGATGACAACTGGGCCACCAGGTATTCTAAGGTAGGTTTCTTGGAATCTTTTCTGCAGAAGCTCTTCCTTTGGACAGTTTTAAACATTTACTGTGTAAAAGTGTGAAAGGATGATTCTGTAGCTTAATGCTTAGGATGGTCCCATGGGAGTGAATTCCAGTTTCTACTCCAAGGAAAATTTTGAACAAAAGTTTTGCTTTCATTTCAATGCAAATCAAAAACGAACATCCAAATCTTGTAAGCATTCACAAAATGGAGACCTTGCCTTTTGGCCTGCTCTAATTTTACAGTTAGAAATTGGTTTCTGAGCTGTCTAGGTTGGCATGGGGCTGTTGGGAAAGCAGAGTGCCATGTTCAGCTGGAGACAGTGGCAGTGATGCACAGGTTCCTCCTTCAAGCACCTGATCCCTGCCTACTTTCCCCCCTGGGGTATCCCCCATTGGCCACAAGCAGGCACGGGAAGGAGGAACTTACACAATGCTGCCGCTGTTCCCTCCCAAGCCTGCCGACCCACTCAGCTGCTCCCTGTAGCCTGCAGTTGGAGAAGGGCAGATGCAGCTCTGGGGCTCCCCCCATACTAGGGACAGTGGAGGTGGCAGGAGGCAAGTTCCTCCTTCCAGTGCCTTCTCCCAGCTAGTGGGGGACACAGTGGGGGAGCAGTAGGGAGCAGTTGTAGGAAGAGGAAATGTGCCCACTGCTGCCACTCTTCACAGAAGAGTTTGGCACCCTCACAGTGGCTCTTTGCAGCCTGTGACAGGAGAGTGGCACACTTTGAGCCAAGGTCAGCTGGGGACAGCAACAGTGATGGCAGAAGGTGTGTCACCATACAGTAGCGTTCCCTCCCAGCCCGGGATGAGAATAATTGCTCTGGAGCCACCTGGCTTCAACAGTAAAGAAAAGTTAATAAAGCCTCCTTCATATTGGTGCAGTCTCAGGACTATTAGTGCTATTGAAGGTAACATTGTACCTAAAATAGTTTCCAAGGCAATGGATGGAGATAAGGGATGATATGAGGGAACAAGGCCTCTTCATGGATCACTTTGTTTCTCAAGATATTAACATCTTCAGTGATTCCACTTGAATCCCCCTTTTTTTCTGCCTGTCAAGACTCTACCTCATAGCCGACTATGAAGGGAACTGCTGGATGGGTATTGTGCTTGGGGAAAGAATCTGTCTCTCAGCAATTTTTTCATATTAGTAAACACTGCAAGCATGTTTAAACATTACTGACAGTTCAATTGTAGTGAGTTTTGTCCCATGATCCAGTTATGTCAACCACACACAAGTGGGTGAGGTGGGGAAGAATAAATATTATTCTTTAATGGCTACCAGAAAGTTTTATTTTTTTACTCTAGGAAGATAAAAACTATCCTATCTACATGAGCCTTTTAATTAAGGTGGCACAAGCATTTATAATGAGAAGTGATCAGCAATACGTCAGAGTTGACTCTGGCAAAATTAGCTGCATAAGTTTTTTGTTATGTGTGATAAATAAAATCTTCTAAAGGTCACTGGTATATTGAAGAGCCAGAAGTAATAATGTTAATTTAAACTGTAGTTGGGTAATGATTACATTTATTGTTTCAGCTTCTTATCTGAAATGCAGACTGTTCCTAATGTAATGAATGGACAATTATCTCTTAACATTTTGCCTTTAACTGAACAAAGGCGTTTTTCTAAGTTGGGGCATATATAATTCACTTAGACAATATGATTTAGATGCAATTAATTAATTTTGCTAAACTGAGATTATATATGATTTATACTTTTTCATTTAAACAGATAGCAGGTCCAAGACACATATCCTGGGACAGACCCTACTCCCATTCATACTATTTTTAAAGGGGTGACATTCATTTGGCTTCAGTAGAGTTATGCCTCATTTACACAGGTGACCAAGGACAGTCAAGCCTCTTCTGTTTCTTTTGTAAACATATCAGGAATATAAATCAGACATGAGAACTAAAATTATACAACTAGCTTATTTACATTTAAAACTCCTGCATTCAATTTTCAAAAATTGTTTCTGAGGGATTATGATGTTTTAAGGAAAATTTGGAAAAAAGTAGGGAAAATTTGGAGCACAAGGAGAAGCACAAGAAAGAGGATCTCTCATATCTTCCACTTTTTAAAAATCTTCTAATAAAAGAGCATATGTACTATTACACCATTCATTGTCTTATTTGACATATCATTTTCAAAGATCCAAAGTATTTTAGATTAACACTAGTCTGGTTGAAATTAGCTGTGAGTGTTACTCTTCTTCCTAACTGCACTGAAAACTCAAGTAAGAAATGTCTTTAAGGGTCATAAGGATCTCAGCAAGAAAATTATCTGTGATTATTGAAAATTATGTTGCTAAAGAGTACCATTCTTCACTAGCAGTGAAACCATTTGAAAAATCTGCCAACAGGCACGCCTACGTTACATTTTACATGTCCATATTTAATTTTCACTTGATTGCTCCATGGATGTGATGGAAGTTCAAAGGTCTAGAGTATGTCCCTTCTTATTTTCTTCCACACTTTTGAATCTCCAGTATTTGGAAATGCTGATCTCCTACCCTCTCTCCAAACAGAGATTTATTTTCATGTCTTTACTGTCACTGGGATTAAGTATTACTCTTGCAAGGTCCATACAGACTGCTATTTGTGCTACCAGCTGCTACTGAACATTTCTCTTTCTATATAGCCATTTTTGTTATTTACCACAGAGTCCGAGTTTGCAGTTACTACAGTAAATCAGAGGGGCAAAATTATAGGATAAATTCTGTTTTGAGTCATGTTGGTATAACTCAGAAGTAATGGAATAACTCCAGATCGGAGGGACACTGGTGTAACTAAGAGCAGAATTTGGCCTTTAGTAATTGAGATTGGGATACTAGCAGAAATGAACTTGGTCTGACGAGTTTTACATGCTGCACTGCCAATATCAGTAACTATTAAAAGATTTTAGGAGGAGAGAATTATTATTTTGGGAGACAGCAGGTCCTTTAAGAATATAACCCTGACTTATTCACATTGCAAAATCCTGAAAAAGTTTATATAGGAGCCTGGATATATTCTTGAAGTTTTCCAAGATGAAATCAATGATGTTACCCCAAGGATGAATTTAGCCCTCTTTGTCTTAGTGGATATGCAATTTGTGATGAAAGGATTTCTTTTTGCTCCATTTTGTGAGTTCTTTGCTAATAAAATACAGATACTATAGCAGGTATTTGTACTACTGGAGAACTAATTGAATAGAGTAATAAAATCTGCTTTTCATTAGTCGCCAATACTTCCAGACAAGGTTTACTTAATTAGGGCCAAGGTTGAAAGGCAAATTAGACACCTGAACCTGAGAGATGGTGAATTTTGTGTGCTTGTTTTCTAGACAGTCAGTAGAGTCCTGCAGCAGGCAACGAGGCAGAATGCATGAGTAGAATTATTCACTTATTAATATGTCAATTAAACAGCTTCTTGACTCCATTACACAGGAAAGATTTCCTCATGTTTTCATGTCTCTTCAGAGTAAATTATAACATGTCCTAATTTTGTCGAAGGTTTCAAGTGCATCCAAGATGATCTGACCATCTGGGCTATTTTTCTGTATATATGGATATCTAACCCAAATATTCATAGAGGACCTGTCACCGGAGTACTCAGGTGCAACCGATGCTCCTACAGAATTAAAGAAACAGCATAAAGATTGTACAGCTTGATTCATTCAGAGTTAATTTGTATGTGTTTTGATCAAGGCAATTTCTCTAAAAATTTCAGCAAGCACCTGTACACTTGTGTGAAATACTGAGGTATGAGAGGACTAAAAAAAGAAAATCTCGAATAAGGATGAGTTGGTACCATCAGTCCTTTAGGTGCACATATGCACATGCTCACATACACAATAAAGTGTTATAAAGTGTTATCACTGGCACATTGTTCATTTTTAATAGTAAGTGTCACAGGAAAGTCATATATTTTCACTTCCATCAAAGGGTCACCAACTTGAAAACACTGATTTATGCCACTTGAAATCTGCAATGCCAAGTATTTTGGTAGCATTAGATCTGGTCTGAGGATCTGGCAGTTCTCAGGGTAGCTGACTGTAAAAAGCTATCAAACCTGAATTCATGCCTCACATTAGAAGATCTATTTTCACACTTGCCCAGAACGAAGGGCTCAGTCCTATACTGAAGAGCTTCAGATTCTAGTCTTTTCAATGGGAGTTGATAGTAGTCAGCCTCTCAGGATTGTGCCCTGATTTCAACAAGTTTAGGACTAGTACAACTTTCAGTTCCTTGATAGATATCAAGGCCCTGATTCTGACTGGCTCATGAGCTGAGGAGACTGGTGGGGTAATGTGGCTGTATATACTCTTTCTGGTTCCCCATATTTCATACCCCGCCAGGGATCTGCTCTATTGCTAGCATAAACAGGAGATTCCAGAGAGCAGTTTTAATTCACACATGACTACCATGGCATTGAAAGGGCCACTCCTGGACAGCAAAGGTACTTGAGCACATCCCTTTTTCCCAGCCAGGGCTCAAAGGTTGG